TTGCATTTGTTGACATAGTGTTCCAAGTTATCAAAGATTGTGGATTAAGTGGAAGGTGTTGAGGCACTTCATATCCTTCTAGCATTTCTATCACTTCATTCATTGATGGACGATCATTTGGTTTCATTTGTATGCATTTGAATGCAATGACAATCATCTTCATTGAAACATTCTTTTCCTCTTGTGTTCCATTGTTTGTATCTATTGTTTCCTGAAATTGATCATAAATCTATTTAGCAGAGTAGTCTTGCCAACAATTCTCTATATAATTTTTGTTCTTTTTTCTACCTGCCATTTCCATTAGCATCATTCCAAAACTAAAAACGTCAGCGTTGTGAGATATGCTTCCGATGTTCTTGTACAGCAACTCAGGAGCCATGTAACCCATTGTTCCTCTTGCTCCTGTTAAAATTAAAATGCTTTGATCTATTCGATACAATTTTTCCAAACCAAAGTCAGATATCTTTGGGGTGAAATTCTGATGAAGAAGAATGTTATGAGGTTCTATATCAAAGTGTGTGATTTGCATGTCACAACCATGGTGTAAGTATTGAATACCGAGGGCAATTCCAAGCGATATGTCATAGATTCTGTGGTAGCTTAATGAAGATGAGTTTCCCTGCTCTTGTGAAAACGTGCGTCTATCAAGAGAACCGTTAGGCATGAACTCATAGACCAACGCTTGCTTTTTCAACACAATATCCAATTAGCTCAACCACATTGACGTGACGAATTCTTGCAATGGTTGCAACTTCATTGATAAAGTCTTGTCCATTGATTTGAGACTTAATCAATACCTTAACAGCTACTCTGTGTTTGCTTCGAAGCAGTCCTTCATAAACAGAACCATAACCTCCTTCACCCAACTTATGCTTGAAATGTTTGGTCATTGTTTTAACTTGTGAATAAGAATACCTTATAGGCATGAAATTGTGGTGACTATGGATAAAATCTTCAATTGTGTCATACACAGATAAATGTCTTTTTCTCCATTTAAATGTCAAAACTGCAACCACAAAGGGTGGCCCAAGAACAAATTTTCCAACAGCAAACACTGTACAAATACATCAAATTATTAAAGGAAATATTACTCTAACCCGTAGAAGAGTTATATATTTAGGTTAAGATTGACTTACAAATCATTCCATAGCAAAGATAGGTGACTGCAGAATCAAAGAGATTGCAGCGGAGGGGTTCCTCTCCCCAGTCAAGGTCTCTGTTTTGCTGTTGGTCACAGCTTAATGGTCGCCATCGAAACTCAATTCCGTTGACATACTCACTTGGAATCTCTGGATACCCACACTTTCTATTACATTTCATCTTTCCATTCCACTTACTCATCATTACTTTCATTTCTATTCTACATGGCTCTTTTATCTTTCTAACAGATGACTTAAAAGGATCATCCAAAGCATATAAATAAGAATATTGCTTTTCGTCACTATCAATTCCACCACCACAACTCTCAGAAGAAATATCCGAATACCAGTAGTAATCAACCGGTTTTTTGCATATCAGAACCGTTATATATTCCTGACTACCATGATTGGTAAAGAAGGAGACGTTTTGATAAGGAAGAGAAAGAAAATTGATGATAGGGCAGTAATCAGGATTAACTCCGGTCATGATGTAACGGAAAGAGGAGGAGGAAGATGAATTAGAAGCTATAATGGCGTCCCCGCGACGTTGGTGTAATGACATATTAATTTATATAGCAGTATTCAGAGACAAGTATAACAATGGCTGGATAGGGAAATAGAATTTAGTATGATTAATATAAGCTTCTTAATAGAAAAGGATTACAATGAGTAAATAGAATAAGGAAAAGTTCACTCCCACATATGGTGAATAAGAGAGAAAGAGAGAGAGAGAGAATAATCTCATACAAATTCACACACATACACTCAAAGCTACCCACTACTAATATACTCTCACTCACTAACAAACTGGGTCCACCTTGGATACTTCTTTTTTATTCTATTGATGTGCCTTATTTCCTTATCATTTGCCACGTCATCATCAAATTCCTCATTCACATCATTTTTATCAATTGGGCACTTCTCACCCATAACATTACCTTCCCCTTCAAGAGCAATCTTGTCCTCAAGATTGAGGTTCGGGTAACTCTGTAGCATTTCTTCTTTATCTTCCCAAGTTGCTTCTTGACTTGACATATCTTTCCATTTCACCAACACTTGGTCCACCACTTGTACTCTTTTACGAATGCTTCGAGTACTCAACACAGCTTCTGGTTGAATCACTGGTCTTTCTTCCACTGTAATTAATGGCAATGGCAAGTATGGTACAGCAGTGAGGCCTTTGAACAGTTTCAATTGGGATACATGAAATACAGGATGTATACGAGCTATCTCGGGCAATTGGAGCTTATAAGCTACAGAACCAATTTTGTCAATGATATTAAATGGACCAAAATACTGCATCCCTAACTTATTGTTCTTTCTCAACGCTACCGAGGATTGTCTATATGGTTGCAACTTGACTAAAACTTGATCACCAATCTCCAAAGAAACATTGCTTCTTTTCTTATCAGCATTGACTTTCATCACCTGTTGAGCTCTCCTCAAATTCTCTTTCAACTCAAGTAGAATTTTGTCCCTCTCAATTAACTGTTGTTGCGGTTCTACCGGATCAACAGTGTTAACAGTGTAACGAATTAGCATAGGAGGATCTCTCCCATATAAAGCTTTGAATGGAGACATTCCTAAGCTTGAATGCAATGCCGTATTATACCACAGTTCCGCCCAAGAGAGAGCTTTGGACCATGCATTTGGATTCTTGAAGGAAAAACACCGCAAGTACATTTATAAACACTTATTGACAGCTTCGGATTGGCCATCCGTCTGAGGATGATACGCGGAGCTCATCGCTAACGTTGTGCCCTGTAATTGGAATAAATGCTGTCAAAATTGACTAGTGAATACTTTATCTCTGTCAGACACTATTGATTTAGGCATTCCATGTAATTTAACCACATTATGCATAAATGGCTCGGCAACCGTCTTACTAGAATAATCTGATTTCAAGGGTATGAAATGAGCATACTTACTTAGTCTGTCAACTACTACCATGATAACAGTAAAACCAGAAGAAGGAAGTAAGTCAGTAATAAAATTCATTGCGATATCTTCTCAAACTTGCTCCGGAATTGGCAATGGTTGCAACAGCCCAGCATAAGGCTTATTGGCAGACTTAGCTTGTTGACAGATGATACAAGCTGCAATGAATTTTTGCACATGTTGTCTCATATTAGGCCAATAAAACTGAGATGCAACTCTTGCAAGAGTTCTGGTCACTCCTGCGTGCCCCCCTATAGGTGTGTCATGATATTCCGTGAGAATTTTATGAATCAAACTACTCTCAACCGGAACTACCAATCTGTGTTTCCAATACAATAAACCATCCTTTATAGTATAATTATCATTGTTCACATTATTGTTAAGGCATTGTTGAACAATTAATTGCAAATGTGCATCTTCAACAATTGCTTTCTTTAATTCATCAAAAAACGCACATTGCGGTGATGATAATGACAAGGACATCATTTTGGATAATGCATTCGCCGCTTGATTATCATTTCCTGGCTTGTATTCGATTTGAAAATCAAAGCCAATGAATTTATGAAGCCAAGCTTGCTGCTCAGGTGTTTGAAGAGATTGATCTAACAGACTTTTCAAGCTTTTTTGGTCTGTTCGCAGGATGAATTTGTAACCAAGTAAATAGTGCCGGAACTTAGCTAATGCCGCTGTGATTGCATAAAACTTTCGCGTATATGTCGATTATAGCTGCATTCTCGGTGTCATCTTCTTGGAAAAGAAAGCATCTTTCTTCAAAGCATTAGTGAGAGGGTCGGCGATGGTCGCATAAGACTTAATAAATCTTCTATAATATCCGGTGAGTCCAAGGAATCCCCGTAGTTGTTTCAAGTTTGTCAGTATAAGCCAATCTAACACCGCTTGAACCTTTGTTCTATCCATTGATACCCTAGCCCCAGAAAGTATGTGACTAAGATACTCTACTTCAGTTAAGCCAAATGAACATTTAGAGAGTTTTGCATATAACACATTTTGACTTAAGATTTGAAACACATTTTCTACATGTTGTAAATGTGAATACCATGAAGGGCTATAGATTAGGATGTCATCAAAGAAAACAAGAACAAACTTCCTTAACAATGGTTGGAAAAGCTGATTCATAAGTCTTTCGAATGTAGCTGGGGCGTTGGTAAGCCCGAACGGCATCACTAACCACTCATAAGTCTTTGGAATTCTTTTGAATGTAGTTGTGCCTTGATCTCAACCTTTGAATCTACAATTGCCACATGGCATGCAAATGTGAAATAAACTTGAAAACATAACTAAAGAAATAGAGAAGATTTACTCTTCACAACTCACGATCTTACCAATTACCCAAAAGATATGAAAACGCAGCAATGATACTTCATACCGAAAACAAGTCCTATATTCCACACATGTCGCATCTGACACAACATCATCACACATGTTCCTTTCAATTAATCTATTTTCAAAAACTATTAATGTCCATGCGTTCACAACCGGCTAAAACAAAGAAAAACCAACATGGCCAGAAAAACGGAGGAGAACCAAGTAACAAAAAACAACAACGCATTTAAAATATAAAATGTGCTTGAAGGAAGAAGAAAAAAATTACAAAACTTGATGTCGTAAAGGTGCAAGATATAGAGTACTTATTATTCTAGTTTAAAATATGATATCTCCACAAGTTCTCCATTCAAAAATGGGATTTATACTAATGCTACTATGCTCCAACCACATGAAATTCTATATTACTGATACATTGTAATTGATGTTAAATTTCCCGCTTGAATTGCATGACTATTTAAATCGTTAAAAAAATATCAGATCCATTGGTGTTCAATTTCCAAAATCGGCTACAACACAGCCAACAAATTATTCAATGCTGAAAGCTTGAATTCAACAGCAAAACAATTGACCATCCGCCTACAATCCATAACTTTTCTCCAGTTTCTGAAGCTGGTTGAGGAAGATCCATGTCATCTGGTATATAAGCAATATATAAACTTGAGAAAACACTCTAATATAAATTATTAATAATAGTAGTAGTAAGAGTGATTAGAAAAATATAACAGAGAACTGTTGTGAAGAGAATAATACCATGACATGAGGAGCAATCCTGACACAATAGACCGGGAATCCAGTGTAAAATTTGAAGGGTCCTCCTGCTTTGAAGGTTTTTACAGCACAGTCAAGAGAGCCTGTGTATGGATATTTTCCTTCAGCATCAGGTTGCATCTTCTGAATCTGAGTCTTCACGTAATCAAATGGCAAACTGCAAGCTGCTGCAAAAAATCCAGATACACTACTTGCACCTGAACAAGAGATTCAATAGCAAATGGTGAGAATAAACTCTTTTGCAGTGTACACCATCCACATGGCATATCACATCTCCTTATTAGAAGAGAAATAGTGTTCAATAAAGGAGAAATCTTGATATATAAGTGTTGATGTATAAGCTTCTGAAATAGTAAAGACGGCAATTATACCAGAATCACAACTTGGTAGGCAAACAATTGAAGCAAAGAGTATCTGACATAATTCAACAGACAAATTGCAAGAGCACTAATAGAAACAAAACCATACAGCAAAGGGAGAATAACTAAATATACAGTCCCTTCCACATATAGTACCATCAATATTGGTCAGATAAAGAACCGCACTCCTAATTATAAAGAACAATGAATCAATAATTTGATTAAAGAAAAGTTTAAATTATTGGCATCATGAATTACTGCAACAAAACAAGGTTTAAACTTTAGTGTTGTCCTTAGTCAATAAATAAGCTAGGGCCATCAAATCTTATTAGGTTGCTCCAGTTCACTTTTGACGTGCGCACAATTCTTTAAACTAAAGTTTAAGCAAAAAAAAAAAAATAAGCAGCCTCTTCAAAGTTCACTGAGCCAATAATTCACAGGGACCCCAATACGTTAAACTGTAGCAATCACACCCCCTAGAGGAACTTACAGCGCCAAATACACAGATATAAGTAATGTTAAGGGCATCATCTATCCAACTAGAATTACAAAGTTAAAAACAATCGGAATAATCTAGAAATATTTTGGGCACTGCTGATTGTTAAGAAATTTTAGAATTACTCAGAATGAATAACCAAATATAATTTTCATCTTCATGTATCGCTTAAATGACAATACTTGTATTGTCACTTCAAACAAAAGAAATGATAGGAATGCATTTACTATATAATTACTGAACTATAGGGATGGAAATTTTCACAATGCGAACTTGAGAGTAGAGCAGTAAATAAGTTTAGCCAGTTTATGTGCCACTCAGCTACTCCGCTCAATTAAGAGAGGTGTGAAAACTAACTTACTATATGACCCAAACTTAAGATTACATACATTAACTTATTGAATTGAGAACCAACTCTAATTGCAATGATGTTATTGAACTCGTATATTTTTCCAAGATTGTATGGTATCATCTATTTGAACCTAAATATTTTTCCATTAAAAACTGAAATTGTTCAGTTTATTTTTGGCTTAAAAGCATTATTTTTCAGAGTGAAAATAAGCAGAACCATAGATGAAGTAGGATGAAATAATTCAGTTTTTTGCAATCAAGATTATATCCAAAAAAAAAAAAAGACAACAAGAAAGGAGTTATGTAAAACATATCATAATACTTATGATCTAAACATGAATCTAGTTTGTTGACAAGTGACAACACATCTACTGATCTACACAGGTAGAATAAGAAATTTCATCATTTTTTGAAAGGAATTAAGGGAGGAAGATTTCCAAGTTTCATGTATACCTCAAGATTAGATGATATTTTCTGCTACCAGACAAAAAAAAGGTCATATACATCTTTAATGTTTGATAGACCAGGTAAAGCTATATATCTGTTGACAAATTTCTGAGTAATTGTAGATGAAGATGGTCCCTCTCCTACTTAAGAGTTTGAATATGTTATTCGGTTATAAAGGGGGGTCTATGAAAGTAAAATGTAACAATCGTAGAAAAAAATGTTGCAAGCACTCAACACTTGCGAAAAATTTCAGCAGTATGTTCAAGGAAGATTAGTTAACAATATCAAAACGGTTACTTACCAACCACAGTAGGCATTTCACCTAGACCAACGGTATCCTTGAAGAACTCAACACTTTGATCATAAGATGCAAGCATTCCCATGTTCAATGCCATGGCTCTTACAACAGTAGGCCCAGCACCTTTCCAAAGTGACAGAATCCCTTCATCTGCACCAATACGGTAAAGTGCCTGGATGGCATTTGTGTAATTTCGGCGCTGAGCAATAGGTAAAGTTGCATCCGCCTGCATACGAATGAGTGCCAAATCAGCTGGACTGCCAACAGATGCTCCAATAGCACCGGCAGTCAGCCCGCATAGAGCTTTTTGGTAGAGTGGCAGGGGCTTGCCATCATTAGCCTCAATCGCTTTATTTGTCAAGATCCTACACAGAATATTAATATAATTAAGCAATACAATATCATTAAAATCATAAAATAAGCAGTGCAAAGGACTCGCACAAAACCTCAGATAGAAAATCAATAAAACATAACACTGTAATTTCTACTGAAAGCGAATTCAAAAGCCCTTACTCAGGAGCTAAATCAGACGCTTCTGAAGAAAGCTTTAAACGAAATTGCATCATAAAGACATTGTTTACAAAAGTGAATCCAAACCTAATTGTGACAAATAATGTGATCTTAAACAACTCACCTAAACGTTCCAAGTCGAGCAGTGGTGTATGTAGCCTGCCTGAGTAACCCAGCTGATAGACCCTGCAATAAGTGATTCAGTTCAGACTTTAAACACCACTAGATTCATATCTCAACAAAGGAAAAATAACAAAACTAAAGCCTAAAATTCTCAAAACATTGTCTCATAATTCATAAGCCAAATTAAAAAAAACATATAAAATCATCTTCAACTCGCAGATCTATAGGCAGGTAAATAAAAAAAAAGAAAAAGTAAAATGCATTGGAATCAATAGCACAATCATCCAACATTGAAATTATCAACACAAATCTTATTCAGAAAGAACAAACAAAGAAAGATCTATGACTGAAGAAAATGGAAAAAACAAAAACAAACCTTATAGAAGGCACCAACACCCTCATTCTTGAGCATGTTAGTTGTAACACTAACAGCAGATCCTTGACCGAGTTGAATCCTAACCTGAACAACAAACAAAAACCACAGATCTGAGTATAATTTCAAAAAATCAGAAAGAACCATACACCAATCTATAGAAAAACGAAAAGTCTATACAAGACCTTGATCATATCGATGGGTTGAATGACACAGGTGGCGAGCATGCCGGAGGCACCGCCATTGACGAAAGGCTTGATGGTTGGCCAGAAACCAGAAACAAGAGCAGGCTTGGGCTTCTTCTCGTCTCCCATTGCTGGTGTTGGTGTGAGATTGAAGAGAGAGAGATTAGCGAAGAAAACGAGAGAGAAAGAGAGAGCTGAAGAATGAAGCTAGTGGAAGCGTTTTATAAGCCTCTTGTTCTTGTTTGTGGCTTGTTTTGCTTTGGACACACACCAAACACAACGCTCGCTTTTTTCTCTCTCTTCTTAGCCCAACAAATAAGGAAAATAGTAATGAAAAGGAATCAAAGTAGTGTAATAAATTAATGTGATTTTTATTTTTTTATTCCTGACCTCATCTATTCCATGTTTTACAAAATGGAATACGAGGATTGATATCTATATAATGTATCGATATTTTTGTTTTAAAATAGCAAAATATGTTATTTTTAAATAATTTTTTGTAAAAAAAAAACTCATACTTTTATTTTATATTTCTTTATCAAAATCTTTTTTATTTATTAGCTCATGATTGGCTTACCGACTTTATATCTTGACATTTATTTGTTATCTCTGTGATTGAGAGATCTGAATATGAATATGTCCTTTTTTTTTTCATTTTAGGTTGTTTTAGCTCTAGACTTCATTATTTGCGTATTTATTGAGTAACATGTTTATTGGAATTCTCTCGTAGATCTTCTGTTTAAGTTTTGTACACCAGAAAAATGAAAGAAAATGTGAGAAAATCAGAGGTTTTCTGTATGATCTGAAAAAGTAAAACTGAATTGAATCTGAAAAAGCAAATCAGAGGTTTATTAAGAAAATATAACTATTCAATCATTCATCTTAGGGGATGAAGATAGTTGTACATTCATGAGTCACATACTTTTTCGTAAACGCTTTTAGATGTATTTTTGTTTCTTATATTAAAAATATGGTTGTTATTCTTCATTTGTACAATGAGGGGAAGAAACTAAAATAGTTATCAGTTGCCTACAGTTGGGTCACATTAAATTTGCATAGTTCAGCAACCAGTTGGCACACATTAGCACATGCAGGATTTTGTTGATGCTAGAGTATGTGATCAATTTCTATAAGAACTATGGAATGATAGTTTATCCAGTTATCAAGTATGTGATCAATTTCACTCAAATAATTTGCTTAGCCTTATTCTGTGTGATTACAGTGTATATAAGATGTTGGAAATAATATTTTATTTCCATTAATGTTGTTCCAAAATGACAAAGTGTGTGTTATATTTAATTGACAATAAATGTTTAGTCCCACATTGGAAGAGGAGTAAAATTAAATAGCATTTATAAGGCACTTGGAACAATGTAATTTCCAAAAGAACCAAAGAGGATAAAGTGCCACATAGTCATATGTGGTGGTGCCAAAACTTATGTCACTTGTCTCATACAAAACACCCCTCGCCGGTGTCGCCACCGGCGACACCGGCTCCGGCTCCGGAACCGGATCCGGGGGCGTGGGCGTAGAGGCGCTAGTGGCGGCTTGTAGACGGCACTTGAGCACTTAGGCACGACGCATCAGAGCAATCGGGCTATTCGCGACGTTAATCTCCGGCGGGCGGAGCTCCAGATTTCATTCGTTGCCTAGAGTTTGAATTTTGAATTTGAATTCGAAATACATGACACTTCATGAATTGGTGCATATCATTTTATTTAAACCATTGCAAATGCTCATTAGAGAGTGTGTTTATGAAGAATTGCAAACTTCTGAAAAGACACATGCATGGCTATAAATATATGATTGATAATTCAAAATAAAATACTCCAAAATTCTGAAATCCTCTTCCATATAATTCCAACGTTTTCCTTGCATTCGAAACTTCACCAGTCTTGTGCAGTTTCGAGAAAAAGGCTGACTTATCCTGGGTATTCAGGTCGTTCCAACTCTAAGACAATTTGAGAGTGTGCTTGAAATACTTTTAAGGAAAGTGATTTCGTTCACGATTCAGTCTGGATCCATTCGACATAGAAGGACTACCTAACAATCTTAAAAGTATTTGTATCATGGATTCCGACGCTGCTGTTTCAAGTATCAAAGTTATGAATCAGGATCTTGTCAAATTGGATCGCTTCGATGGAAACAACTTTACCAGATGGCAAGACAAGATGACATTCCTGCTTACTGCACTCAAGGTTCACTACGTCTTGGATCCCGATCTGACACCAATTCCAGAACCAACTGAAGATGATTCTGACGAACTCAAGAAGAAGCGCATGCTGCGAAGGGAGGACGAATTACTATGCCGTGGGCATATTCTGAACACGCTGTATGACCGCCTATACGACCTATACACAGACAATCCGTCCGCTAGAGACATATGGAATTCACTGGAGTTTAAATTCAAAGTCGAAGAAGAAGGTACGAAAAAGTTCTTAATTTCTAAATACTTTGATTTTAAATTTATAGATTCCAAGCCCATACTTCCTCAAGTGCACGAATTGCAAGTCCTGGTGAACAAAATCAAAGCGGTGAAAATAGACATTCCTGAAACCTTTCAAGTTGGTGCAATCATTGCGAAGTTACCAAGTTCGTGGAAAGGCTATAAAAAGAAACTGTTGCACAGTTCTGATGACTTTTCCTTGGAGAAAATCCAGAAGCATCTTCGAATCGAGGAGGAATCGAAGGAGAGGGAAAAATCAGAATATGCGGGTCTTTCCAAAGCCAATGCTGTGACCAGAAAGGAAAAGAAAAAACATGATGTCAAGAAAAGTCATATCGCACCAAAAAAGGAACATACCAAGTTCAAGAACTTCGGTGGTCCGAAGGGTCCGAAAAATGGATGCTTTGTATGTGGAAAACCTGGACATTATGCTCGAGATTGCAGGCATAATAAATTAAAAAAGGAGATCAATGCAGTGAATGCTAATGATGATATAATTGCTACTGTGAGCGAAATTATGGCAATCAAAGGCAAAGTCCAAGGCTGGTGGTATGATACATGTGCCACGGTTCATGTCTCATATGACAGGGCTGCATTCAAAACATATTCTGAGGCAAATGATGGACAAGAAGTACAAATGGGAAATAAAGTGCGATCCAAAGTTGTTGGAACTGGAACGGTCGAACTCAACTTCACTTCTGGAAAGAAAGTTACTCTTGTTAATGTGCTTCATGTCCCAGACATGAATAGGAATCTTGTTAGTGGGGATTTACTGGGAAAACCGGGTATTAAATCTGTGTATGAATCGGGCAAACTTATTTTGACCCGTAATGGTGTGTTTGTTGGAAAAGGATATTCCGCTGAAGGAATAATCAAACTATGTATTACTGATAACATGATTAATGAAATTTCTAATTCTGCTTACATGCTTGATTCAGTTACTTTATGGCACAATAGACTAGCACATATTGGTATTAGTTCAATGAAGAGACTAATTAAACTTGGCTTGATATCATGTAATATCAAAGATTTCAATAAATGTGAATTATGTGTTAAATCAAAAATGATTAAGAAACCTTTCAAAAGTGTTGAAAGAAATACAAATCTGCTTGATCTTGTGCATTCAGATTTGTGCGAATTTAATGGCATGTTGACCCGTGGGGGAAATAGATATTTCATTACATTTATTGATGATTGTTCTAGATACACTTATGTATATCTCTTAAAGCATAAAGATGAGGCTTTTAATGCCTTTAAGAGTTACAAAGCAGAAGTGGAAAATCAATTAAGTAGAAGTATAAAAGTCCTTAGGAGTGATAGGGGCGGTGAATACTTTTCTACTGAATTTGATGCATATTGTGAAGAACATGGTATAATACATGAATGTTCGGCACCTAGAACACCACAACAAAATGACATAGCAGAAAGAAAGAATCGAACATATCAAGAAATGATGAATGTCATGTTATTGCATTCCGAACTACCTTTCAATTTGTGGGGCGAAGCTTTATCATCCGCTTGTCACATAATAAATAGAATTCCCTTAAAGAAAAGTGGAATTTCTCCATATGAGGTATGGAAGGGCATGACACCAAATATTGGCTATTTTAAGGTGTGGGGGTGTGTGGCATATTACAAAAACATGGATCCTAAGAGAACCAAGTTGGGTCCTCGAGGGATAAGATGTGCATTTGTAGGATATGCACAAAATAGCAAAGCATATAGACTTTTAAATTTAGAGTCTAATATTATTGTTGAATCCCGGGATGTAGAATTCTTTGAAAACCTTATAACTAAGGATAAAGAATCAGAGTCGGCCATAAATAAAGAATCTTGTGAAAAAGACTCTTCTCGGATTGTAGAGATACAACCTGAAGGCACATCTCGAATAAATGAACCACGACCCAAACCTAGGATAAGAAAAAGAGTCCGGAAAATAAAGAACCTAGGACCAGACGAAATTGATTCTCAATCCATTTCATTTTATCTGGTTGAAGGAAATAGTACAAATTTTATTAAAAGCATTCCGGTAATTCTTCAAGTAGGGGAAGATCCTAAAACTTATAAGGAAGCAATAGCTTCTAGAGACTCCTCTTTTTGGAAAGATGTTATCCAAGATGAAATGGATTCAATTATGTCCAACCACACTTGGGAACTTGTTGATTTACCAAAGGGATCAAGACCCATTGGATGCAAGTGGGTGTTTAAAAAGAAATATCATAGTGATGGTACATTAAACACTTATAAAGCAAGATTAGTGGCAAAAGGATTTAGACAAAAGGAAGGTATAGATTATTTTGACACTTATGCACCTGTAGCGAGAACAACCACTATAAGGTTGTTATTTGCTTTAGCATCTTTAAATAATCTGATTGTTCATCAAATGGATGTTAAAACAGCATTCCTAAACGGAGACCTCGATGAGGAAATCTACATGGAACAACCAGAAGGACACGTCCTTCCTGGAAATGAACAGAAGGTGTGCAAACTTGTCAAATCTCTATATGGCTTAAAACAAGCACCAAAACAATGGCATCAAAAGTTTGACTCTGCGATAATGTCAAATGGATTTATTCCTAATTCTTGTGACAAGTGTTTATATACAAAAGTGTATAATAACACTGTAATATTTTTGTGTCTTTATGTTGATGACATGCTAATAATTAGCAATAGACTTAATGGA